ACACCCACACACCCACACACCCACACACACACACACCCACACACCCACACACCCACACAAGCACCCACCAACCCCCACACCCACCACCAACACACCCACACACCCCCACCCCACACCCACACACCCCACACACCCACACACCCACACACCCACACACCCATGCGCGCGCGCACACGCACACGCACATGCGCATGCAAATGCACCCGCACCCGCGCACTGAGGCACGCGTGCACTCGCGCACTCACGCCTGCGCGCCCGCTCGCCCGCACCCACGCACCCACGCCCCCACGCACCCATCCACCCAGCCACGCACGCACCCCTACAGACTCTGCAAGGTCCCGGTATTGCGAACTTCAAGGCGCTGCTGCGACCGCGTGGGGCCAAAGACTTCCGATGTCCAAACTGAAAAATAAGCCGAGCGATTAAGTTCAATTCAATAAGAGGCTTGAGTTATCCTGGGTGCAATGCTTCATCTGCCCAGGTCTTGGGAGCCCACGGTTCGCGATGTCGACCGTGAGGCCTTTGCCCGGTGCCTGGCACGCAGCTGAGGGGCCTGAGCCCAGACCGCGAGAGGTTGACGCATTTCGAGCATATCGAGCATTTGGAGCCACTCATGCTTTATTTTGGTGAGGCTGCATCTGCGGCAGAGGAGGCTCGGCGGAGCGGCCGTGGCGCCCAGGAGGAGGCGAGAAACTTGGTGCGGAAGCAGAGTACGACTGTATACTCTATGGCTCATCATCGGGCCTTTCGCGACTTCGGTCTATTGTTTGCTTGCAGTTGCGCTAGGTGGAGAGCAGGCTGGCAGCCCTTGCCGGCCTGGTGTGCCTCTTCGTGGACGAGCTCCAAGGGCGAGCACTCCTATACAACGTAGCTGTAACATAGCGGCCATAGTGTCCGAAGATGACAGTATTGAGGCTCTCAGCCATGGTGCTCTTGGCAGCCGAGGCTTTGGAGGGGGCTGGGTCAGCTGGGTGTTGTTTCATCTTACACTCTTCTACTTTTGGCACTCAGCTTCAAGGATGAGCTGCGCTTGATTGCAGAGAGCTGGGTGCCACAGTCCGGCTGATGAGTGTTGACCACGCCTGGCATTCCGTATTCCTGCAGTTGCTGAGCAGGATTTATAGGTACGAAGGGTTTTCGCCAAAGACCTAAATTAGTCTGCTGACTGAGGCGCCGAAGCTTGCAGCCCGTCGGGGGTGCTGGAGCTAGCAGGCCTGAGTGGGAGGAGGGCGTATGTCAACGTATCCACATGGTCACATGATCACATGGTCATTGACTTTCAGGGGTTGGGTTTCAGGTCCATGCTTTGTATATGAATCATGCTTGAAGGGAAGACAAGGGAAGTATGTTCAGCAATTAGGGTTTCGGTGCGCATGGTGCTGTCCATGTCATCTCCTCACTTCCCCTCGGACCTGCTTCCCCCGATTCTCAGGCACCTTCTCGGGCCACCGAGCACCCCCCAAATACATCCAGATAGACCACCTGTTGCTAAACAGAGTCGCACTATCTTGCGCCCAAAGCCTATACGACTTGCATCCGCTTGCCGGGGTGCAGCTGAGGCCGCGGCATTTTCGAAAGCCGAGCGCCGCCATGCTGAAATGCATGCCATGATAGCGATCGGATGGTACAAAGTGCTGTAAGAACTGCGCCCCCAGGCTTTTCCAGGAGATGTGCGCACCTGAGTCGCATGTTGAAACAAAGTGCAACATTGTGCAACCAATGCAAAACTTCAAAGGTCACGAGCTGCGCGCCGCAGTGGTCTTGATTCTGGGCTCCTGTTGGTCGGCGGAGAGACTGGGCAGGCTCTTACACACTCGGAAATTAAACAGGATTATAGGCTTCGCTTCCCATCGCTCTAAGTAAGACTCTAAGACTCTAAGATACTCTAAGCTTCCCCCCCCCCCCCTCTGGATCTGTAAGAGAATCTGTAGAAGTATGCGCAAAAACCATTCGGAGGTTCTGGGCCTCTGCTTGCGGCCGCGAGCCGGCGGCCCGGAGCTGAGAGTCAGCTCCCGAGGGCCGCAGTTGCGCAAACTTATATCGCATCAAACTATAGAGTCACTCGCAACGTGACTCATTGATGTTTACTGAGCGTTGACTATATTTTACCGGATAAGTCTGGAGAAGGTCAACCGTTTGTTGCCACAGCAGTGCGGAAGTTGCCCATAATATCTGGCCGCGGGATGCCTCGGGACGCCGACTATGCCGTTCTTTTCGGAGTGGACCGAATACGATCTCGGATTGTGAAAGCCAGGCAGCCAGGTTTACCAGGCGTGTTCTCGAAAGCGATAGGTTCAGGGACGCCCAGGGTAGTTTGACGGTTGGTTTCCCGAACGCAGCTTAAAGATGCTTGGAAGGCCAGACGAATCAAGGAAGGTTAGAACGATGCTTGCAGTCCAATGCCCTTATGGCTTCGGCTTGGGGCTTTCAGATTGCTTTGGAGAACCTCTGTACGGAATTGAGTCAATTTTGGCCAACAACACTGACACACGCTCTCAAAAACCAGAGAAGAAAAGAAGGCTCAAGCGCGTTTCTAGCGCGAGGCTCGAAGTTGCACAAGTTTGCACATCTGGCCTCTTGCGGCATCTACAATGCTTGAGGCGGTATTGTTAAGAAGTTTACTCTTTGTTGCTGCTTTGCGATCATGATTTCAGTATTTGAGCCAAGTGTGGTCTGGGAGGCCTGGAGCATGCCACCAGTTTTTCGGTTCGGAGAAGCGTCAGAATTACAAGAATTCCTTTGAAGGCCGCTCCTAAAGATGTGCGGAGGTAAGCGGAGACTGGATTAGGCGTACTAGATGCTTTTCGCTCTTTGAAGGGAATGCCGTGACCCCTGTGGCACACTGAGCTGCAACGAGCTGCATTTTTTGGAAATTTGCGGATGTGAAATTTGGGTGAAGTTCTTTTATAGAATCATAATGTACCGTAGGTTATTCTGCCTACTAGTAGCTTTCCTGAGAGAGGCATCGCAGTTGGAAACGGAGATGTTGCTGATTCCGGCTGTGGGCCGCGTCTGGGGCTAAAGAGAGCAAGGCATTGGAGGCCCATGTTGTCGCTGCAGAAAGTTTTAGCTCGTGCCGAGGCTTCGACGGCGGCGGCCGACCGCCCGAGCCCAGCAAAGGGAGGCGACAAGACTGTAATGGCACCTGCCTTGGTTGCCAGGCTCCAAGCATGGGAGCTGGCCGAGCAGCTGTCGTGCCTCGGCAGAAATGGCAGAAATGGAGTGAAACATCGGGCCGACGCGACTTTGCGAAATGCCAGGAGCGGCCTCGCTTTGGCGCGTAGCGCCACAGAGGCTTCCTACGTG